GGCGGCCCAGTGGAAGTAGAGGGCAATTCAGGCAGCTGTGATGCCAAAGTCTGGGATCGAATCCCAGCAGGAACAATCACAATTTAATAGGCTATGAAGCCAATATCGAGCTCAAACCACATCCACGATACAGCATAATGAGAAAGATGTTATTCATACTGGAAGACTAATTAACTGTCATGAACTACTAGTCTAGATGAATCATTTCAATTCAGGTGAAATTCAACACTAATTTGTCAACACCAATTCAAATGCCTATATCAATGATATCTAAGACTTCTATTCAAATGCAGACAGCCAATTATTCCCTAGCTGGATCAAAAATTGCTACCGGTAATATAAATACTACCAAACCAGTTCACAGGTTGAACTTTGACTAACATCTTAACCAAATCAACTACTGGGTTCATATGTTGTTATTCAAATTAAAACGAGTCTACTGAATTATACATACTACCAGACATACAATAGAACATTATCAACAAAACACAAATGGCCTTCAATCAAACAGACAGATCCTTGACCATCTCATTAGAGCTTCAATGTATACATCATGTAGTTCAAAGTAGTGTACCTGAAATGGTAGAAATGAGTGAACAAGGAGAATCAGCAGCTAGATTTGAGCAGAGAATGAACCAGCAACACACAGTCCAGATTTAATGTTGATGGAACAGTAAACTCAATAGTGCAAAACAACAGCTAAAAGTCTGATGGAGCAGTAAACTCAATAGTTCAAAACCCCAAAAATGCAATTTGAACAAGGGATACTGAATTCTAATAACCAAAACACCCAAAGGAAATCGTTGACTGACTTTCAACCAATTTCAAAGCTAGAAGGTGAACCTCAACTCTAGAGGCTCTGTATCTTGTTCTGGATTTTTTTTTAGTTCTTCAAACTCTCTCCAGTTTATTCTCCCTGTAATTCAGCTCTTGGTTCTCTCAGATTTCAGAATATTCAAAAGCTGCCTTTCAAGGCAAGAAAACATGCCTTTATAGGCAAGGCAGGTAGGGCAAACAGTAGGTTTCAGTTTTGCACTTTACCCCTTCTTGGATTTTCGTTTTAGCCTAAATGTTCCTAGATTTCTGACTTTTTCCTCTTATTTTCTGACTTGTACCACAAGTAACTACCCTAAGTTTACTAAAACTTACACTATAGCCCATCCTAGAAGGTTCTATACTTGTTACAATTCCTATTCTACCCTTACCCCACTTCAAGAATTACCAAATCTAATAAAACTGCCCCTTTCCATGCCTAAACTACCCTTAAAACCCCCTGAAACTACTGACCATTGATAAACCTGCCAGCTATAACCAAACAAATAATCTAGCCTAAACTAATTAAGATTAATTAATAGAACCTGAAGCTTAAACTGAAATTAAACCAATTACACTAACAACCATGTTCATTTAGTCAAACCAAACCTCCAATTTTAGACATGCCTCAACATCTATTGAACAAATACGGATTCAAAACACCAAATCAACCTATTAACCTAATGAATCAGAATCAAATTTATTATCAGAAAAGCAAGCGTATCAACTTGAATCAAAACTAATGAGAAAATCAAAACTATCAATTGGTTGGCTTAAACGAACATTTGGATATATAAACTGGCCAAGGTAAAATG